TCAGCTACCCCTGCACAGAGCAGCGTCTCCCCAGTGACACGAGGGAGGGTGTTGCAAATGAACAAGGAGAGGAAAAGACAAATCCCCTGCCCAGCCTCTGGTACGTGGGGGATGGAGTCGTGCAGCCATTTGCAAATGCACAAATGCAGGCAAGGCTGGAAGGTGAAACAAGACTGACTGACCAGACAGGTCGTCTGCACATATGGCAGGGCTGGATCTGCTGCTGGGGACCCACCCAACTGGCAGCAGTGCAACAAGGGGAGACTCAGTCCTTGATGACTTACCCAACTACCTCTCCCAGCTGGTGTCAGCCAAACACACGCTTCTCAGCCTTTAAGCTGCACAAAGCCTCGTTTCCCTGGAAGCGGCATTTCAGAAGGTTTTTTTGGCCCAGCTCCCTCTTGAGGGTCTCAGCGCACGCCATGTATGCACAGCCACGAGCACCCTCGCGCCAGGGCTGGGCTACGTGCAGGATCGCAGCGCTCCGCACTGGCGGGCTGGTGAGAAGCTGCCCATGCTGCGGGGACTCGGTGAGACCCGAGGCGACTGCCAGGGTGGGGGGAGGCAGCCGCAGCCCTGGGGGGGGGGGGACGAGGGAGGGGCGCCTGCCACCCCGCCCGAGCAGGGGGGATATAAGGGGGTCTGAGCCCCCCTGCAGGGTGAGCTGGTCCAGGGGCCCTGGGCAGGTGGGGGTCCGTGGCAGGAGGAACAGCTGCCGCTGAGACCAATTCACTCTCTTGGGAGACCCATGGGCATAATCCGTTTAAATGCTTTTTAAGGTAATGGGAATGGGGGCCCTGCGTCGGGCATGGAGGAGTGCTGGGGAAGCTAGTTTGCCTGGCACAGCGAGGAGGGGGCCGCAGGGGGCTGCCTGCACATGCTGAGTTTTGGGAACGGGGGTGGAGGGCATCCCACTTTCAGTGCCCCCCTCCCTCGCTGACCCTTTGCACTGCTTCTCCCCAGAGATCTTGGACCCCCAGCAACAGCCAAGCCTCGGGGTGCTGCGGGAGCTCGGCGTTCCTCGGAGGGCCCCCCTGGCATAACACCTAGTCACCCGCAAGGGAGGCTTTGGACCTTGGTAAGGAGGGGATGCGTGAGGCAGCAGGGAGCAGCTTGGGGCATGTTTGCACAGGGCAGGCAGGAATGACCCACTTAATTGCTCGTTGTTGATGTGCCCTAGCAGGGCTGAGTGCTGGATGACAGTCAGAGATGTCTTTGGGGAGCGAAGGGGAGGGCCAGTATAAAGCCCAAGTATAAAGCGCCGAGAGCTTCAAAGCCCAGTGTTCTCCTCGTTCCCCATCTTTGGGGTTTGCTGTTGATGCTTGCTCAATGCATTACAACACACTACAGCTCTGGGGTCAGCGTGGTCTTCTCCTGCTCCCTATCCGAAACGTCGTTAAGTAGGTCTCTGCAGAGGAGGGGGCAGTGTGCAGCCCTGAGAAAGGCAACCTCTGTTTCCCAGGCACTTCAGATCAGAGGGACCATGTTCCTGCAAAATCCTTGTGGTTAGAATTGGATTACTGGGGTGGAAATGTTTCCTGTGAGCTCCTGCTGGGCCTTCAAGCTCCCTGGGTTACGGGATGGGCTGGATCCAGGAAAGAGGTTGTTAAAGCTGCATTGCTAAGTGTATGAGCCAGGAAACAACCCTGCGTGGCTTTAACTTGTCCCCTTGTTGCATACGCTGTCACGGAAGGGATGTGCACCTGCTTGAACTGGAACCACAGCATGGATTTGGACCGCTCCAGGTTGGCTGGTGTGACCAAGCAGCACAGCCCTATGCTGCGCTCTTTAAGGATGCCTCCCCTTTCGTGGGGCTTGTGTGTCTGGGAAAGTGGGACTGCCAGACTTCATCTGTTTGGAAATGGCAAGGGAACTTTACCCTGTTCTACGTGCTGCAGATCTAACTACAAGCCAGAGCATGAAGGAACACGTTCTGGCATATATAGGCCATTCACTTTACAGTGAAGTTGTCTTTGTTGTTAACTGTGTTGGTGCCTGAACTGCTGCTAAAGAAGACAGGTCTCCTGGGTGCCAAGGCAAAGCTCTGAAACGCTGAGAAACGTCCCTCCTCCCTCTGGAGAAGATGCTTTAGCCCCCAGTAGGGCTCTTAGCTGAGGTGCTGATTCAGAGGAGAGCACGCCAAGAACTCTGCCCAGGGCAGCGCTGCTCCGTATGGCTTGTGCACAGAGACAGGGAGCACTTTGAGGTGCAGGTGGTGGTGTCTGCTGGTGCAGTCCCTGGGGCCCTGCCTCTAATGCTCCCTTTCTCTTTGCAGTGTGTTGCATTCTTAGAGAGTATACCCTGCTCGAGGAGGCTTTTTAAACTAGTGTTATCACACCTTGGCCATGAATGGATACTTGGGTGAATCTGACTTCACGATGGTGGAGGAGGGCTTCACCGCCAGAGACCTCCTGGAGAACCTCCTCGTAGAGCTGTGCCAGACGGTAAGTGCTGGGGGCTCCGCTGTCCCTAGGGCCTGCAGTCATCACCCACTTCACAGAGGTGGTCATGGAGAGGCGACTGCTGTTCACTCTGGCTTTGTCTTAGAGCGACCAGGGAACCTACTTTATGGCGGACCTCGGCGACATTGTGAAGAAACATCTGCGCTTCCTGAAGGCCTTGCCCCGCGTGACAACTTACTTCCCTGTTAAGTGCAACAGCAGTGGAGGAGTGGTACGGCTGCTGGCCGAGCTGGGGGCAGGCTTTGCCTGTGCCAGTAAGGTAGGGTTGTGAGAGGACAGCTCTGGCTGAGCATCCTTTAGGCGTTTGTAGGGAAGTGGCTGAACTCACCCTTGTTTCTAGGTTTCCACTCCCTCTTCCTAGCTGAGCTTTACAATGGCAGGAGTCTCCCCCCTGCAGTCAAAACCCTCCCGACACAGCCTAGAAATCCCCGTCCTGTCTATGTGGTGACTCAGGCACTTGTTCCCTTTGACTGGCATTCCTTTTTTTGCATCCCTGTCGGGGCAACCAGTGTCCTGGCTAGCAGGCTTGGCTGGTGGCAGGGCACGTCCCTGTGCTACCGCTGCTGCAGCTGTCGCCTCTAGGTGGCTTTAGAGCTAGGCATAAAGCTCTCCGATCCTTCTTGTTTGTCATTAGCTCACAGCCAGATTCCCGGGGAGAATCCAAAGTTAAACCACTTACTTGTATGTAATTAAATAGGAGGTGTTACCAGGGGGAGAAAGTGCAAGGGAAGAGCGAGGGGTCATGACAACTCAGGCCAGTATTGCAGCCTTAACCCTTTCACTGCAGCTTGTAGGGGGGACATGCACCAAACTCACACCTGTTGACTTGTCCCACTTGTTTCCTCTCCTCTTGGTCTTGTGCTGCTTGCAAACATCTTCCTACTCCCTGCCCCAGCCAGGACAAAGTCCACCAAGATCCCTTTGAGCTCTCGCCATTTGGCCTGGAAAAGGTCAGGCCCTAATCCTGGCCGTTTGCCCTTTGCAGTGCTGCAAGCTGGCTGAGGCCTGGAGCTGATCCTGGCCAAGCAGGGGCAGTGCTGGGCCCAGGGACATGCCTACAAGCATGTGCCGTTTCTCCACAGGCAGAGATTGCCCAGGTTCGAAGCATTGGGGTTCCAGCTGACAAGATCTTCTACTGCAACCCGTGCAAGCAGGTTGCCCACATCAAATATGCAGCCAGCCATGGCGTGCAGCTGATGACCTTCGACAACGAGGTGGAGCTGAGTAAGGTGGCCAGGAGCCACCCTCATGCCAGGTAGGTGTCAATGCAGGACCTGGCAGTACCATTGGAGCAGGAGCTGGGGAGGTGCCTGGGGGTAACAGAGGGCCGGAAGATGCCTCAATGCAGTGTCTCTTCACTCTGCAGGATGTTGTTGGGTATCGCTGCTGACTTCAGCCCCTCTGCCTGTCCGAGTGTGAAGTTTGGGGCTACCCTCACGTACTGCCGGCACCTGCTAGAGAAGGCAAAGGAGCAGGCTGTGGAAGTAGTTGGCATCAGGTATGCCGCTTGTCCTTTTACCGTGGGGGTGCGTGGCCCCTGTCGGACAGGACCGTGGGGAACTCTGCCCCGCTGGAGCAGGTCAGGGGAGCACGGAGCCTTGCAGGGCTGCAGTGGCTGGGAGTGAGGTGGAGGCTGGGACCTGGGGGGATCGACCCTGGTTGGGGCCACTTTGGGGCGGGTTTGGTTTGCAGACAGGGTCTGAGGGGCCCCTGGGGTTGGCCTGGCAGCCATGCCCTGGATGGCAGGAGGGAAGCACAGAGCTGCTTTGCTGGAAAGCTGACATGTGAGTATCGGCCGGTGCCATGTCCCCTTGCTGCTCTCCCCGAAGATGGGCGAGCCCTGCTGAATGGGGACTCTGCCTTCAGCTTTCACCTTGGGAGTCACTGTCTGGACCCCCAGGCCTTCTCTCAGTCTGTAGCCGAAGCCCAGCTGGCATTTGAGATGGGCACGGAGCTGGGCTACCAGATGCACATCCTGGACATCGGTGGGGGATTCCCTGGTCCTGAGGACACGAGAGCCCGTTTTGAAGAGGTATTTGGCTCCCGTTGCCTGCCCTTGGCACGCAGAGAGCGAGGCCAGAAAGGCCTTGTTGTCTCCACTGGACCTGGCTCCCTGCCTTGCACTGTGCGGAGGGGCTGAGCTAACCAAGGGGGAATGTCTTCTCCCCCTCCAGATTGCTGCCGCGATAAACTCTGCCTTGGATTTGTATTTCCCAGAAGGCTGCGGGGTGGAGGTTGTGGCGAGACCAGGGCGATATTACGTCACCTCGGCCTTCACCTTTGCAGCCAGCGTCACTGCCAAGGAAGAGGTTCCTCCGGGCCAGCCTGGGTCAGAGGGTAGGTGGGACGGTGGGACAGGCCTGCCTGTCTGTCCGTGTCCCCCCTGAGCCTTCTCCGTGCTTCCCGCAGAGGAAGAGTCTGGCAGCAAGAAGAGCATCGTGTATCACCTGAGCGATGGCATCTATGGCTCCTTTAACTGCGTCCTGTTTGACAGCCCCTGTCCCAGGCCTCATCTGCACAAGGTGAGGAACTGACCCGGTTTGAGGAGAGCTGAGCGGGTCCTTCCTAAAACCCCTAAAACTCCTGCTCTGCCTTGCACCATGGCTGGCCCCAGGCTCTGTGACAGAATGGGGAATTCCTCTGTGGGGAATGAGGCTGTACAGGAGGGTTGTTAGCCTTTAGCTTGGGGAACAGCGCATGTGAAACCTTGGGCTGCAGCCAGCGGCTCTTGGGGCATGCGGGCTCTTGGGGTCAGACATTTCATTCAGAGTCTCTGGGCCTCATCCTTTCTTGATGTGCTGCTTCTGCTGTGCCAGCCTGGGCTGATACCTGGGATTAGTGTAACTCAGACAAACCCATCCCATTCTGCCATCTGTGTTTGCACCTTCTGTTCAGGTCACACTACTTCAAGGCCAGGTTCTAGCCACCCTTGTTAAGTGTAAGAGTTTCTTCTGATTTGGGGCCAGATTCTTATCTTGTATAAAACAGCACAGCTCTATGATGCAAATGCCCTCCTCCCCTGTGACCGTTCAATCTCTCCCGTGCAGAAGCCCTGCCCAGATCACCCCTCGTACAGCAGCAGCCTCCGGGGTCCCCCAGGGCATGCGGAGGACCGGATTGCTGATGGCTTGGAGCTACCCGAGCTGCAGGTCGGGGACTGGCTGATTTTTGAGGACATGGGTGCCTACACCATCACAACTTCATCCCTGCTTGGTGGGTGTCCCCAGCCACAGATCACCTACGCCATGTCCCGCGTGGCCTGGTAAGAGACAGTCCTGTGACTCCACAGGCAAGGGCGAGCCGGGAGAGGGGACTGAGCTGTCTCCCATGCTCAGTCCTAAAGATGCTAACTTTCCCTGAAGCTGGGCTCGCTGCTCCAAGAAGAGGGTTTAGTCTGAGTCCCTGGCACCTAGAGATTTAGGGTAAAAATGTGGCCTTCAAGGCAAAACTTGCAGTGTCTAAATACTGGCAGGCTTGAGCCAGTTTTTAACCGGAGATGCCATGGGCAGCTCAGCTCTAGCCATGCAGATGGGGCTGTTGTGCTGGGGGAAGTGAGCGTTCCCTGCTCCCTGGCTGGATCCTGCAGCACTTGGCAGGTGATTCATCCTTCGTGGGTGTTTCATGCTCACAGGGAAGCCGTCCAGCTCTTTCAGGGGAAGCCGCCACAAGCAGAGGAGGATCGTGAGAGCCTCTGCACTCCCCTGTCCTGTGGCTGGGAGATTGCGGAGACGCTGTGTGTCCCCCCTGTCTTCACTCCCACTGGTATCATCTGAACAGCAACAGGAACAAGGGGGAAAGGTCCTGCACCGCCAGCGCTCCGGCAGCACCTCCTGCGCTGCCTGCCGCTCTTACGTGGAACCCACAGGGTAGATTTTTAAGTATGCAACATAAATCCTGTTCCTCCTGCTTGTGCAGTGTTGTGTGCTGTAGAAAAGAGGTTTGGCTGGGTGGGGAGCCCTAAACAGGCTTAGGTTCTTTTGAAGAGTAATTGCAATAAATGGTTGTCTGGTGTGGTTTGGGTTTTAGTGTGAAGAACCCCCTGGCTCTTTGTCTCCTCCCTGTGCAGGAAGTGTCAGAGTTATCTGTGATAAGCAGTTAACCGTGTATTAATGGAGTTTGGCGTACCCAAACCCGTGCTGCACGGCCCTGGAGCGCTGTGTGCCCAGGTGGCCAGAGGGACCCTTGGGATTCAAGTGGCTACGGAAATAGGGAGGCCGGGAGGGAGGCAGATTCCGGGGGTGGGTATTACTGGGGGGAAGATGGCTCCCCTGCCCCTGCCGCTGCCCCGAGATGTGCGTGAGGGTCCTGCACGGCTATTGGTACTAGGGGGGACGGGGGAGTGGGAGGCCTGAAAAGGTAGAGCCTGGGGCCACTGAGAGATGCCGAAAGGCAGAGACTGGGGGTGCTGGGGGAGGCACTGGGGG